AAAAAAAAAAAAAAAAAAAAAAAAAAAAAAAAAAAAAAAAAAAAACACATAAGCTATCTAGTTGAATCTAGGGAGACTACCCTACGCAATCCCTAACCCGCGCAAGAAAAAATTTCGATCGCTGCTGCCTCCTCTTCCCAGGGCACTCCGTGCGGCCTGGCTTCGGCCACCGCTAGCCGCGACGCTAGCCTCTCTTGGAGCCGAAGACCCCCCCGATGTAGGGCTCGCATGATTTGTTTGGTGCCTATGTTGTTGTGCGGGACTCTTCGGTTTTTGAGTCGGGCTAGTTCGTCGGACTCTGACCCGCTTGGTCGGAGTTGAGGTAAGACTCTCCCTCCCCTCTGTCCATCTCTCCGGCTCTGGCATGGTGGTTTGGGCTTGGTCGAGTGATGGGTATGGTGCTCTGTTGGTGGGTGCTTGGTCGGGTGGTTGGATGTGGGGGAGGCTAGTTGGTTGCATGGCTTTGGTCAATTGGAGCTACCAGTGCTGTTGGTGGGAGGGGTGAGGGGGGGTTTGTCGGCCGGCCTCCAGTCTCAGCTCTAGGGGCGGCTCGTCTAAGAGAAGATTTTGGTCGTCCGGCGCGGTTTCCACTAGCCGTGATTACACTGGAGTTTCTGGAGCAGTGTTGGAGCCAGGGTCTATCCGAGTGGGTAGTTGTCTCTGGGTGTCGGCCCGCTGTTTGTTGCGGATTGTCTCGCCTGAGGAGAGGAGGGTGTTATTCTTCTTCATATGTGTTTGTGTTCTGTTTTGGTGGTGTTTGTTTCGGGGGTTATTCTTGAAACAATCAATTGTGGGCGTTTGCAAATAGCCTGAGCCGAGGCCGAGGCTTTATAAATAGTGCAAATCTCTCTCTTCTATATTTTTTAAAACCAATTGGTACTCGTAAAACTACAGATTTAAACCGGTTGCTAGTATTTATTTCTTTCTAAAAATTTTAAATATGTAAAGTAATTTTAAATATCATTTTCATTAAATGCTAATTAAAAATTATATTACTTAGGTTAAATAATAAAACTTACTATCAAACTTAAATATTATTTAAATTAAAAGATAATTCGAAATATATATATATGTATAAATACTAGGTAATAGTATTTAACAAAAAACCTATTTAATTTTACCTATGTGGCAATTCAACCATTTTCTTTCCAAAAATCATTACTTTTGATATATTTAATTTTTATTTAATTATTAAATAATCAATATTAATCACTTCAAAATTACAAAAATTTTTTTAAACATTAGATTACTGATAGTTGACCATATAATGTGTTTACTGTAGAATGTGATTATATATTATTATTGTGGTTATATTTAAATTATTTTTTCAAATAAAAAATATATTTGAAATTATTAAATAAATAATAAATAATTCACAAAAAAAAGACGTACTAAAATATACATTACATCCAATCAGATAAATACAATTTTTTTAAAAAAAAAAATATTTCAACTCTTTTAATTGTAAATTTGGCCAACAAAAAGGTGAAAAAAAAATAATTAATCATTATATGCATACAAATAACTCACAATACTTTATTTACATTTGTGTAAATGCATAGGGTCAAATAACTGGTTTTATTAATGCCTTTGATATTATACTAAAACCTTACACACAAACGAAGATTCAAATTTTATGGCTTTGACATTCACTAATAACCTCACACACAAAAAAAATATATTCCATTTCGCACTCCATCAACATTCACTAGAATTGTACCAATTGTGAAAGAAAAAGTACCATAGTTCAATACCAAATACTGAAAATATATCTGCCATTGCACGAAAGTACTCACGGGGATCTCAAGTCACAACACACACATAGCAAAATAATTTGGGGCAAAAGGACCAATTTTGTCATAAATCGATATAAACACTGCACACATATACAAGATAGGATTTCGAACCCCATACCATGTATAGTACCGTGCTTATACCCAAACGTGGTGGTCGATTGCAGGACGCCGTTGGTCACCAGGTAGACGATGCAAAACAACCCAAAACTCACGGCGCCACCTCAATTCTGTATAGGAAACTACCCTTTCGTTAATGGCGTAAAGAAGCGATGCATTACTAACATTGAGATGAGAGAAACAACTTACCAATTACTAAGGTTGAGCATAGGACTATGATAGTTCCGAACTGTTCCGAAAACTGAACTGAAAACACTCAGAATTGAAAAATAACCGTTGACCGTTTGACTTTCTCCGAACCGAACCGAAAAAATAATTGGTACGGTTCTGGAGATTTACAAATATCCGTACCGAGAACTGAACAAAACCGTTCCGTACCGTACCGAACCGAAAAATCGAATTATAAAATGGATGTGTAATATTAATATACTAGTAAAGTGCACGTAGTTCTGAATGTTTTTTACCGATTAAATTTAGTAAAATTTATTAATTTGATATAATATAAAACAAATAAGCTTCTATTTTTTTTTTTTTTTAAATAACATAATGATGTCCTAATATAAATAATGAAATAACATATTACAACCCCAGAAAAAATAAAGTACCTCATGGAAAAAATACTAAATAACTAAATAAGAACCTAATGTATAATATAGATGCATTAGTTATTTATTTAATTATGTTAGATAATTAGAGAGTGATTTTTTTTATTTCATTTTGACTTTTCCATAAGAAACATTCATAATTAAGGTGGAGCTCAATACACCAATAGTACTTTGAATTCGTCTTAATTCATTTGGCAAAGCGTCTACTTTATTCAAACACGTATAAATTTTTGGCTAAACATATGGTCAAATTTCTTGATTGTATGATCTTTATAAAGTACTTCTACTAACAATTCATGAATATATATATATATATATATATATATATATATATATATATATAAACAGATTTACCATTTTTCCAAAATGGCAACTAAATTTTTTGTCAAACATCTTTCTTCATTAAATGCTTTTTACTTATGGCAACTTCTTTTTTGTTTCACGGACAACATTAACTAAAATCCAATCTATATGAACCGTTACTACGCCCAAAAATCGCGGTTTTACACGTGAATTTTTTTGGGAAAAAAATTCAAATCTACAACAATTTTTTAACAAAAAAATCAAAGCAATTTGTACAAAAAAAATCTTACAAAAATATGTTAATTAAAATTGGAAAATCGGAATTGTTGAGAGATTTCAAATCAAACAACAATTTTTTAACAAAAAAATTTAAGCAAATCGAACAAAAAAATATTCCTAAACCCAACCAAAAAGAAAACCTAATATTGAAGAATCAAAACCCAATAAAGCAAAAATAAAAATCCCTAACATATAAAAAAACTAAAAGATAATAAACAAAATTTCATTTTCGGGCAAAGAAACGAATGATTATTTTGTAAGAATAATAATAATCGTTAAACAATACAAAATCGATCAAAAAAACATAAAGATTAAAAATGAATTCTAATCTTTATTTGAGCAGTTTTAAAAAAAAATGTGAAGAACAACATAAGATTGTATGATAAAATACATGTATTCGAACAAAATTTATACAATAAATCTATCTGACAAACCTAAAAGTGAAATTAATTTTCAGGTTAAGTAAAAAAACAATAAATTTCGACCAGAAAAAAAAATGAAAGAAGATGAACGAAAAAAAAATGTTTGCTGTGAAAATAGGAGAGCAAGCTCTTGCCCGATAATTCTGATTTTGTTGGGTTTTATACTAACCCTCAAATCAACCATCGGATCTCCTTTTACGGTTGATGGAAATTCTGTCTTGGACTAATAAAATTCCAATTTTAATGGGCTTAGTATAAGATAATGTAATGAGTCGACGTTATTTGGGCCGATTAAAATAAATATTATTCTATATAATATCAAGCCCCTTTAATATTACCACGCTATTAGATATTAAGCCCATTTAAATAGTATTAATTTATATCTTAATATAAATATATTTTAAATTATTTTTGATTAATTATAATTTAATATATATTTTATTTAAATGTATATCTTAATTTCAAAATTCTTTTACTTTCGTAAATATAAAAATGAAATATAGAATTCAAAAAATATTTAGAATCTATTACTATAAAAAAAGGGGAGGTATTTACTTGAATTGGATAATATTTGGAATTTTGTCATCATCCAATTATTTTCGAGTCCATCGAACGTATTGCTCAAACGCGGAGCACCTTTGATTTCAAATAGTTCCCAATCATAGATTCGGCTTGGACATTAAATAAAACTACATGATGAATTTACATAAACCTTTGTTGATAAAAAAATGACGACATGCAACAATTAAGTTTACATGTTGAGAAATATTAGGAACATATATATCGTATATAGGATAACACTGGAAAAATACAATAAATTATGTTTAAATGGTGATTTAGCCATATTATATATCAAATTTTGTGCAATGTGTGGTATATATTTATTATTTAAGGTATAATACTATTACTTAAATAAAAAGTATTGTGTAAAAAGAAGGTAATAAGGTGTAAAATACTCATTCGTGCATCGCACAAGATACTCACTTGTATCTTTGTAAACAACCAACCATATCATTAAATTACTGATATATATATATATATATATATATATATATATATATATCATTATATAAACAACTTCATTACTATGTTCATATAGAAAAATTGATACCTACCCCATGGAGCCATTGCCTCACGGGGTGGAAATGAATTTCATCTGCAAATAAAAGTTGACTTTTCAAAATTTTGGTTACATGTATTTCT